ATACTGTCAGTAGCGTTCATAAGTGCAAAAGATATTAAACTGCTACAATTGTAGGCGTTAACACCGAGACATAATTATTCCTAACACACCCGTTGCCGATGTGAAGCTGGCTATAACGAAGGTAAGCTTAAAATGTTATATCAAAGACACTAGGGACAACCAGGCCTGGAGAAAACGAGCATGCGGCTCACCTGATGGTAAGTGACTACCGCCGCCTATGAACAATCGCAACACCAGGGGAATTGCAGATGCGTTGCCGGCCTTTTAGAAAGTAGTAAGCTCTTTTCTTGAAGGTCCCTAAGTCGTATCGGTCCGGAAAAGTCGCCAGTGGTAAACAATGGAAGTTGTACGAGGAAGAAAACTCCTAGTAAAACGTACAGTAGTGAACTGCCAAGCATCCAGATGGTGAGGATGGTATCGGGAATTTTGACGCGATGTGCGTTCGTGAAATTTGGCGGCTTGAAATAATCCGAACAATTCCTCAGAACACTCCCCATGGTAGGTACGATAGAAAACTCAAAGGGATGCAACATCCCTACGCAGCGCCAGTGAATCGAGCCGATCAGAAAGCACTCGGTCGTCGAAGATTCGAATCGCTCTGCGCTGGATGCGATCAAGTGGAAGGAGCTGGCACTGGGGTGCCCCGGCCCAGAGATGAGAGCATGTGAGGCCGAACTTGTATTGTAAAATTGCAAGCGATGTGCCCGCATGAAATACTGTCTCGCTCCTTTTTCATTCCATTTCAGTTTAATTTGAATGCAGAACATATCATCTAAGGTAGTACAGATGGGTAGATAAATATCTCTGTACATTTTCGTTTATGCAAATGGAATAAAAATATTCGTTTGTTCATAGTATATCAAACTATGCAGTTCTTCGGACAGTCATAAAGCATGCTGTAATCGGTTAACAATGCACTCGGACACGTATTGTATGTACTCTGCCTGCTTTATCTCAGTGTCGACCAACGTACATGTTGTACGACTTGGTCGCTATTCTCTAAACTAGCTATGTACTAAGAATTGCGGACTGATTTTGTGTAGTGTTTATTGCTTACTTCGCTTAGATATATCGTTAACTAAAACGGGATGCACTTCGCTCTATAAATCTCCTAAATTTCCTTGTAAATTTTAGCTTTTGTCGTGGGATAAATCGAAACTACACCTCAAGCGATATGTGTACTTGCATGTTTATTTATTTACACTGAAGCTCTTCATATGTAATTCGCCTATACTCTACAATATTTTTGCTGCTTACTGCTGGCATATCTCCTTCCATAACAAAGAAAATTGTTATACCAGTGTTACATGGTTGTTTTAGAAGGACCTTTATTCATATGTATTATGGCATTTGTAGTCGATCAAACAATTCATCCGGTTTAGGCGACATTTGAATAATCGTCAGCGAAAATATTCCAGAAACCGATCCATTTTTCAATGAAACATGAGATTTCAATTTAGTTCGAAAAATGTAGAGAAATTTGAAATTGGAACATTTGTGTTTTTACTTGTATCCATACAAATTTTTTTTTCGAAAAATTCTGTTTGGCTTGTCGTATAAATATGACGAGTACATGTAAAATCTGCCAACTGGCACTGAATTAATCTAGTGAGCTCTTCTATACTCCAGTGAAACAGTAAGGTTGTCCTTTTTAAACTAAGATATCGTTTTATCAAAATTATCTAGAAGTTCGTGCAATAAATATAAAAATTTACATTTGTCGATCATGTTAATATCGTTTTAATGTGATTAAATAGATTATTTTCTTCTGCAGGAAAATAATATTTAAAATATTGAGAAGGCTGAGAGTTATGTTCTGAAAGTACTCATTCATTGCTTTAAAACACCAGTCAGGGCGTCTAAATTTAGACACAGGATGCTGAGGTTTCTCGGACGATATATGATTTAGGTTTGCATGAGATTTAAAGAGAGAACCGTGTTTTATTAAATCATTATCAACAAGCGTTTACTTATTGGGTGAGTGCATTAGTTGTTTCAGAAATTAAGAACGCAGCTGTATTATTCATTTTTGTTAATCGGATATATACAATGTAGTAAAAATGCAATTATACAACAAATAATTTTATGTAGTACATATCTTACATAAAATTATTTGTTGTATAATTGCATTTTTAATAAAAGGAAAACAGTCTTTAATTATAACAACCAACTTGTTTTGTCGCTGAAAAATAAATTGTGGGGTATGAATGACCTAAACAATTAATATAATTAGTTAAAACTTGAATCTCCGTTACTGCGTATTGAATTATTAGCTTTCGTCAACGATAAGGCGACGTAGGCTATGTTAGACTTCATGTTGGCCCGTAAGTATCTCCAAAATCCCTGTTAATTTAATAATATCATAATCTCCTTGTGTGTTACGCCTTCTGACTTTTGATTTCGTATTCTTCACCGTGATGATAATAATTCTTTAGGGGGGGGGGGCAGGAGTTGCCGGCTACTTCGTAGAAGGTCCGGAGTTCAATCTCAGCCAGTTACAAAACGTGTGCAAAAACAAATTATTGTTATTTGGGTCTGGTTTTGTTGTTCTTGTGCTCGTATCTCTTCATTGTAGAATACCTGCGAATTTACTGCATAAAAGTAACAGCGGTTATAACGTTTGAGTACTTTTGTGTTACGTTAATGTATAGACTTATTATCTTAGCATCCGACAGTGATCGGAAGTTGTTTCTGTGATCGAAATCGGTCAAGAAAACGTAATCACAAAATATATTCAAAGTGTTAGCCTATGGGAATCCCTTTGCTGATTACCAACATTTTTGATAAGACTTTTTGATAAGTTAAGTGTATCTAGTAATAACGCTTTCTATAAAACTCTTTTACGAAAACGGAGATGTAATTACCGCCGTTTTGCAGCAAAAAGATGTACTAGTAGTTTAAACACTTCTCTCACGAATATATGAAGTTACTTAATTTACACATAATAAAGTATTTAAGTACAGGATTCTTAACGTTGTTATAACTAATATTTTCGTTGAGGCAAATACGAAAGAAAGGCGATGAATGTAATTTATTAATATGAATGTGGTGAACAGTTTTTAGCTTAGTACACTTAGCAAGCTTTTTACTTTATTAAGTCTTTTATCTATGGTCTCTTTCGCCGCGTAGTGAGACCATAAGAAATTCCACTGCCCTATATCATCCCTTGGGCGACACCAAAGAGGCGACAGTGGGACACTAAAATAGGACATTTGCAGCGGCATCTCCTTAGTAATAACTCAAAATTATAAAAAAAGCGGTTGTAAACCCGATTGGCCAGCGCGACAACAATGGCAAATATCCGTCCTGTGTTGCAGTCTATGGGGAGGCCTGTTTTAAGCAGTAGACCCTTGATGGGATGTAATGATGACGATTTTTTTATAGGATAAGGGAAACAAATGAGCACACAATCCACCAGTTGGTAAGTGGATGCGGTGGTCCATAGAAACCCCTGTCACGTTGCGTTGTCACCCCTGACGACTAAGATGGAATGCCTCGATTCCGGTAAAACGGGTCTCCGGTTCTCTACACTCACCATACGAAACACAACAGCATTAAGCTGCTATTTTACGCTGGTATTCTGTGAGAGCGTGGTCTTTCCCCGGTCGAGCCGTTCATGCTACAACCATACTAGCTACAGCGTGGCTCTACCACGTAAAAATGATGGTCTTTGGTTACCCTTTTTAATCAGCTCTTAGAAGTCTATTGCTGGAAATAGGTTTCTCCAGTATTAAGGATAGATTATCATAATCGTCACGCTTCGCAAGCGTATTAGGTCTATGGTTTCACACCTGTAGCATGCTCTCCTGCACTGTTTGTCGGGTTTGGTGTATAACTGTATAATGCCTGTACTACTGTAAAATCTACTGTAAAAACTGTAAAATCGCATTTCTATGAATACAAAAAATGTTATGGCTGGTGCCAAATGCAAATACAATCCCGACACAGGTACGTTATATACTATGAATCTTATTAGGAGTATATATAACGAGTGTCTCATTTCGTGCCTACTTCACATCTTAGATATTGTTCAGCATGACCGGTTTTATTTTCGATCTGACATTTTCCAGATTATTTTTATCTTAATGATGTGTTTAGCCAACCATGGACTGTTATCGTTATTTAGATTATGATACTGGAATCGAAAGAGTAAAATAGCGAGTACATTGTGAAGCGTACTCTTGCGGCGCCATATATTAAGTGGTCGACAATTTAGTTGTTATCTCTAATAGTATCATATCCGACCAAAATCGAGAGATGTGCTCCAGTGTCGATGCACTTGCATACCTCGTTGAGAGCCAAGGGCGATTGTGCTAATGCAACGTAATTGCGTTGCGCGCCTTCTTTTTTATAAATGAGGGGGTAAACGAGAATGCGGCTCACCTGATTCCTTGCACGCAATCTGCATTTTCCAAGCCGATATTTAATCTGTGGGAACAGTATCTCATTAACGCTGCTCATTTCAATATTATATTTTTTTTTGCGCGATTTTGAGCTGTGCGTTTTGCTTTATTTATGTTTATAATTTATGTACTTTGTATGTTATCATCGTGGCACAAATTATGTTAAATGATATCGTACTCATACATAACTATGCTACATTTAGTATAGGAATGTGTTGTCCACGTTTTAAAAAATATCCGTATCTTGTTTTTAAGAAATAATATTCATGATATGACTACATATTTGGTGATAAATTTTGAACCATATTTTGCATTAATATTCGAATGATTTATGAATTATTCAGACTATAAAGTAATGCAAATGATTTCTTTCAGTCCGCTTTCGCATAAATCACCTATTTAAGAATTATATGGCGGTCTTCGCCACACAGTAATAAACGAATCGAAAGTGGTAGACGGACGCGTAGACTTTAGTTGACCACTTACCACTCAGTTATCGCCGTTACTCGCCAGTTTCCCGCTACTGACCTCGTATCACCCACTTCCTCTGCTGTCCGAACGAGCTATGTACAATGTATTGTCTTTATTTGTTCGCAGGATCAATATGATAACTTAGCCGCCCACACACACAAAGGAATTGAGTTCCTAGACAAATATGGAAACTTCGTGAAAGACCGATGCGCTATTGAACTTGAGTATGCAGGAAAACTCAGGTATAATACCTATATTTTTATATATCTTCTTCTTTCTTCTTTTTTAAAAGTGCTTGTAATTGAAATGGTAATCTGATTGTAATCAGATTGTATTTTTCGAATTTGTATATTGTTTTATAACATCAAAAGATAAATTTTCCAGTTTTTTAAATTTGTACTAAGTATGCAAAATTTAGTAAGCCCTTTTTTATTACTAGACCATACCGAGTAACGATGAAATTAATTGTTGTATTAGAGACAAAAATTTAAAATATTGCTAACCTAAGCTCATTACAGAATATAATTAGCGATCACTAGGTATGTAAATTAAATTCTTCATGCGAAAGTTTCAAAAAAAGGAAGTGTATGTTACAATAGTCACCCTTTTACTGTAATACGCTGGGTATGTTTTTTTTCTAAGCATAATATTCCCTTCCTAAAGAACTCATCAATCTGACCACCTAAATTTCCTATACTGCAGCGATTATTATTCATCAGCTTGAAAAGTATATTTCCTATCTTTGATTTCGGAAACAGAAAAAAATCGCTAGATGCCAGGTCTGGAATATATGTTGGATGCCCAAGTATTTCAAAGCCGAATCTCGAATTATATTCATTGCAACTGCAGCCCTGTGAGCCGGGGCGTTGTAAGTTGTAACAGAAGGTCCACCATTACGATATTCAAATTATTATTATTCCTTGATTATCCCAGAAAAGAGAGAACATGACCCTACTGGCAGAGGGACTCGCATTTCTAAGGAGTTGAAGATGATGATACTTTCAAGTTCTAATTAGACTGTAATTTTACTTTAGGGTTGTAATGATGAAGCCGTGTTTCGTTCATACAAAAAAGATCGGGATCTTATGGCAACAGTTCTGAAAAGCCTCCGGAAATGTTAGTCTGGTTTGTTTCTGCGCATCAGACGGCATTCTGGGTACCCAACGTTTGATTTTGCGTCCCCAAGCGCTCATGTACAATGTGTTGCACGTTACCTGTCAAATTTTCTTCAGCAATGATATGTACATGATATGACGCTCTGAAACATTTTTTTCGGGTATTTTAACAATATTTTCGCTACCTGCTGTCGTATGGCGTCCCAAGCGAGGGTGTCTTTTAATGGAAGTTTTTCTTTATTATTCAATATTCGCCGCACCTACGGTTATATGTAGAATACGACGGAGCAATTACCCTTAGGCCGTGTAGTGGCCATTAAGAATATCCACTACTCCATATCTTTCCGTGGGTGTCGTATAAGGCGACAGAGGGAAACAGGCAGGAGATGGGCAGCAGCATCTTTCTGACAAAAGCAATTGTACAACAAAAAACTGCAGTTGCCAACCCGCCAAGCGTGGCAACTATGGCAATATACCCCCCATGATAAGAGTTACGAAGAGACGGCCCCTAGTCCCCGGTGGCCCCGCTATTCCTGTCTACTGTGGCGACCATGGTAACATCGGGGCAAGGGGTGCTAAAAATCTCCGATGGAGGTTCGGTTGCCACATAAGACGACTCGGACTCGGACATACAACGCACGCAAGCTGAGGACTGATGAGAAGATCCAGGAGCTGGAAGAAGAGATAGACAAGCTGCGCTGTAATATTATAGGATCATTCGAGGTCCGAAGAGAGGAGGAGAACACGGTGATTATCGAATCCGACAACTTGTTCTATTACCGGGAAGGTGAACATCTGTCCCAACTAGGTGTCGGATTTATCGTCCACGAGTCTCTCGTTAACAACGTTGTAATGATTGGGAGTGTGTCGAAAATGATTGCACAACTTATATTCAGAATCATCAAACGGTATTCGCTGAAAGTCATACAGGTTTACGCAACAACCTCGGTAAATCCCGATAAGAAGATGTATGTGGATATATCTAGAGACATGCATTCCGCCAATACCCACTTTACGGTGCTATTAGGATACTTCAACGCAAAACTAAGCACAAGACAGAACGGTGAGCTTAAGGCAGGGAGATTTGGAATGGAGCAATGCAACCCAAAGGGTCAGTAGCTGGCTGACTTCATGAAAAAAAGGGTACTCTTTATGATGAACTCTCTTTCAGAAGCGTCCCCACAGAAAGTGGACCTGGTCAAGGACCCACGGTACGACAAAAAATGAGATTGACTTCATTAAGACGACTGATGTCTCAGTGATCGCAAGGGTTAAAACTGGCAGCCATCACCGAATTGTTAGATGTACACTGAACCTAAACGTTAAGTTGGAGAGGTCTCGTCTAAGGAAGTCAACGCTCTGTCCCCCTCGTGCTCTAATCCGAAGTCCCGAAACCTTTCAGCTCGAGTAACAAAACCATTTTCAGTGCCTAGAAGACTGCAATGCAGTAGACGATATCAATGATAAGCTCGTGGAAACTGTCCATGCGGTCGGAGATAAGTTTTGCAAGACCCGCCGTAGAAGAACACAAAACTCTCCGATCACACTCTTTAATCTCATGTCTGTTAGAAGGGAAATAAAACTGCAGTCTTCAACAGATTTGACAGTATACAGGCAACTGAACATACAGATCTCCAAATGCATGCGGCGGGACGAACGCAACTTTAATACTGCTCGTAATGTAGAAGCGATTGAGCGAAACCAGGGCTCCAAAGTCTTTGCCAGAGATCTGTCTGCCAGAAAGAGCGAACTGTCAAAGTTGAAGACTAAGTGTGGCAGCATCGCTTCCGGGACACCTAAGATTTTGAGCGAGATTAAGAGGTTCTATGGGCAGCTCACATCATCGTTGGAGCCACACGCAGGTGTGGGTAAGAATCCAAGTGCGGTGGTCTTGTTCATAGGAAGGCAACAACGCTCTCTTGAATAACTACGGAACGATTTCTCTCCTGAGCCGCGTCTACGTGCTGTTTTCGAGAGTCATTGCAAATCGTCTCCCACCAACTCGATGATTTACAGCCTCCCAAACAAGCCTGTTTCCGAAAAGGCTTCAGTACCATAGACCACATACATACACTGCGGCAGATTGTACAGAAGATCGAAGGGTACAATCTGCCACTTTGCCTTGCGTATGTCAAGAAAATAAACTATGAGAAAGCCTCTGATTCCGTCGTAATTTGGGCGGTGCTACAGTCCTTTCAGCGGTGCCAAGTTGATTATCGGTATATCGAAGTGCTCAAGTGTTCGTACAGAAGGGCTACGAAGGCTATCTGAGAACAGAACCTGAGTACGAAACCTATCGAACTGCAGAGAGGTGTACGACAGGGTGACGTTATATCCCCGAAACTCTTCACCGCTGCATTGGAAGATGTATTAAAACTACTAAACTCGAAAGAATACGGTATTTACATCAATGGCGAGTACATCACTTACCTTCGATTTGCCGAAGATGTAGTCTTTATGGCATAGTCACTGGAGAACCTAAGCACTATGCTCAATGACCTCAATAGTGTCTCCCAACGGGTAGATCTTAAGATGAACATGCGCAAAACAAAGCTCATGTGTAATGTACATCTCACACCTACGCCGATAGTTACTGGAACCACTAAGCTTGAAGTTGTTGGCGAGTATGTTTTGTTCACCTGGGACAAATATTCCGACTAGGTAAGTCCAACTTCCACCGAGAGGTCAATCGACGAATTCAACTCGGTTGGGCAGCGTTCGGGAAATAACGGCACATCTTCTCGTCAGGTATACCTCAAAACCTGAAACAGAAACAGAAACTTTTTTATTCAATGTAGATTATAACATACTTATTGAAAGTCACTTTTTTAATTTACCACTGGTTCGCAAAAAAAACCTCTGTCCTGGGAAGAACTAGCAAGAAACCCAGCGGGACTATTTTTTTTTTCCAATAATAGCTTACAATCATGTTTACAATTAATTAACAACACAAGACAAATTAGAAATAGCTTGGTAGCGATCACCCTTCCCAGGGGTTATTATCATCCATAAATTCCTTAATATTATAATAACCCTTTTTATACAAACTTAGTTTAAAAACATTTTTGAACTTTGTGTATGAAAAATTTTGTATATTATCTGGGATTTTGTTGTAAAATAATACATCGCCCCAAGAATGAATTACTGACTTGGTGGAGTCGAGTAACTGGTACTACTAGCTTGTGTCTGCTCCTAGTATTTACGCAATGAATAACACATATTTTCGCAAAACTACATTTATTTTTGTGTACGTACATTACATTTTCATAAATGTATTGAGAGGCCAGAGTTAATATATTGATTTCCTTAAATTTTTGTCTCAGTGACTTTTGGTTTTAAATTATATATTGCTCTAATGGCCCTCTTCTGCAAAATAAATATAATTTCAGTGTCAGTCGCGTGTCCCCATAGCAAAATACCTTACAAAATAATGCTATGGAAATAACTAAAGTAAACTATTCTAGCTATTTCAACACTGGTAAGATTTCTAATCTTTTTTACAGCATATGCTGCAGAACTAAGTCTGCTAGCTAGTTTTGATATATGGGGGAGCCATTGAAGCTTTGCGTCCAGTGTGATTCCAAGAAAAATGGTGGTATCAACAAGTCAATCAGTTCCTCTCCATTTAAAATTACATTAGTATTGACATGTTTAACATTAGGAGTGACGAATTTCATTCATTTAGTTTTAGTTCCATTCAAATGCAAATTATTAACATTAAACCAATTGACTAACTTAGCTATAGCATTATTTACATACATACATACATAAACACTCACGCCTGTCACCCAGAGGGGTAGGCGGAGACTACGGACTTCCATTTGGCACGATCCTGACATACCTCTTTCACCTTCTTTACATCCATATATCTACGCATACATGCTCGTCGGTTAAGGGTACTTCTAACGTGGCCCCTTTTCAAAATATCGCCAATTTGGTCGATAAACTTTTTTCTAGGGCGTCCCTTCCCGACTCGGCCGTTCACATCTGCCATATAAATTTGCTTTGTCACTCTTTCCTCATTCATTCTTTCTACATGACCAAACCACCGAATCATTCCTTTCTTAATCCTCGTCACAACATCATCTTGCATACCACATTTATCTCTTATCATGCAATTTCTCACC